AAAAAAAAAAAAAAAGAAAAAGAAAATCAAGCATGCCATATACCCAGCACTGCTCTGAAAATAGTAGACCAACAACTACAGGCCCACATAAGAGAAAAACGCAATTAAATTCAAGGAAGGGGTGGGGACTCCATTAATTCTTACCTGTTGGGTACAATGTAGGGTGAAGGACTCAATTGGCACATTTCTTGGGTGAAGGACTCAATTACAACTCAGATTTTGGACTTTACTTTAAAAATGCGAATAACGTAACCTAATTGTATGTACCCCCATATTAACTCATAACAAGAAAAGCCATTAAACAATAGTAAAAATACGAATTTTATACATTGTTGATGGGAATGTAAATTAATAAAATCTTTATGGAAAACAGTATGGAGATTTCTTTTTTTTTTCTGTCAAATGTTATTCTGGCTGTATTTTTTTTTTTTTATTAAATGATAGCTGTATACATTAATGCAAACATGGGGTACAGTGTAGTGTTTTCATATACATTTTGAAATACTTTCATCAAGCTGGTTCACATAAATTTCACGTCATTTGCATAGTCATTATGTCAAAACATTTATATTCTAGTTCTAGAAAAGTTCACTTGTACCCTTGTTAGACAGAAATATAGGTGATCTTTCCGGTCTAAAACAGAGACAGTATGTCTGGAAAACTTAAGATAATTATTTTGTATTTCATCTCCTACAGACATGCATCAGCTGCTTTGTATTAAAAAGGAGTTAAAGGTCAGAGAACAGGGAGTAAGATCTAAAGATTTCCATGTACTCATTTTAATTCCAAGAAATGAGCTTAATGACTCTGTTTTCTCTGAATCCTGGAGGCCACTTGCTTTTACGATATATGTTTCCACATACTTCAACTTCTGAGCCATGTCACTGCAGGAAGGGCTGTTAACTTTTATCCTTACAGGCTTAATCACTGCATAGTCTGAATTCACCAAAGTGGTTCTTATCACTGTTCCTCCAGGTCCTGCTATGCTGACCAAGGCAGCTAAGCCTCAACAGAACTTGCAGAGTACAGCAGCCTTTTACCTGCTTTCTTGGCTTTAAAGAGAACATAGCATGTGGGTTTTATCTCACATGGGACAGAATCAAAAGAGCAAATGTTTGAATCATTGGCATGCCAGAGGATGTATAGAAAGATAAATGAGTATATACACACACACAGAAAAGAAAGAGTATTTAAAAAATAATAGCAAATCTTTTCAAACCTGAAAAAACATATAAATATAAGTACAGGAATATCAAAATTCCACAATCAGATTCAGTCCAAATAAAATAAGCCAAAGAAATAATCAAATTGTCAAATACAAGACAAGAAAGGGTTCTAGGGGAGCAGAGGCAAGATGGTTGACTGGAGCCAGCTTTCCACAGAGGCTCCTGTCCAGAAGGAGAGTTAAAGGACAGAAGTTCAGCAAGTAAGCTGATGGTTTGGAGTTGA